CCCTTCCCCCCATTTCCATGTACCCCATTCCTTTCCCCTCCCCCTCCCCCTGTCCCTCCTATCCCTTCCCCCCCTGTCCCTGTCCCTTCCCCCTTCCTTTTCCCTGTCCTTTCCCTGTCCACCCCCATTTCCTTCTACCCCCTTCCCTAGTAAAATACTTTTTGTATATAATCATGTCTATAGTTATCAATATAATATTCTATGTTCAAATATCAGCTTTGTATCAACTTTTAAGGTGGCATGAGGTAGAAAGTGGTTACTCCAGTAGGAATCCAGTAGGAATCCCATCTCTGAAACATTGCATTCACTTTGTTTAAGTTCAATTGGAGTCCAGTAGGAGTCCAGTAGGAGTTCAGTAGGAGTCCAGTAGGAGGGGGAATTAAGACATATGTGAAAATGCTTTTCTGGAAAGAATGTTAAAATCCAGTAGGAATCCAGTAGAATCCAGTAGGAATCCAGGAGTCCAGTAGGAGTCCGGTAGGAATAGGTGGAGGAGTGATAAGTATTGAACTTGCTCGGCAGGAGTTGAGGCGAGGTCGTGCCAGGCGAAAGGAACGAGGGGAAGAAGTCACCGATACGGAGGATGAAGATGCCGAAATGGAGGAGGAAGAAATGAAGGAGAGTAGCCCAATCCCGTGTTCGGCATCAGTCACACGCAGCTCTCGTGCTGGATCTTCCGCGTCTTCGACTCCACCTGTAACTTCGGCTGCAGAATTCCTTGCCGAGCTGGGTATGACGTTGCCAGCAGAGGATGCGGTTCTCGAGGCCTTGTCAACAAAAAAGGTCACCAATTTCGAGCAATCGTGCTACTCGTTGTTTGGCGAGTATGTCTGCCGGATGGTGGCCGAGTTGGGCACGCAATTTGGACGGCGCTCGGACTTTGTCTTGGAGTGCGCTGACCTTCTTTTGAAGGAGAAACGAGGGCCCAACAGGGCAAACAAGTTCCGATCCTATATCAGCGGGACTTGCAAGGATGACATGCAGGGCAGTAAGTGGCCCTGTTTTTTTCAATTGACAAACAGAGTTCTAATAGCATTCTGGGCAGTGACCAAGGAAGAAAAGGCCAAGTTCATGGACAAGTGTTATACTGACTACATGCAGGGCACTACCACCAGCGAGGAAAGGGAAGAACGCATGCAAGAGGTTTACGAGCACCTTCAAGACGAAATCATGGACGGCGGATCGTCGATCGTAGCACCAGAGGTTCGCTTTGAACGCTGGCGCGCGATGATCAAGCGTTTGGTAAGTTATTCTTTTTTTAAATTCACATAAAGCTTTTCATATTGTGTTTTTCTAGCTAAACATCATTCGGCGCACTGACCCCGAGTTCGATATCGCAGGCTTTATCATCTATTCAGGAGACAAGCCATCCGTGCATCAAAAGGACGGCCTTTTCGTCAACTCATCGTTTTTGAAGGATCTCTTCGACCGCAAAAATTATCCAATTAGGAAGTGGACTGATGTCTTTGCCACTACTGTTCGGTGGGTCACACATTAAACTCTTTTCGCGTTTTTATTATTAACTTGGCACGGCAGAGCTGCACGATATCAACAGGAATTAAGGCAAGATTTACAGATTGACGACAACCGCGAAAGAAGCAAAGAGGTACCTGTTCCAGGCAAGAGCGGCAGAAAGACTTCGGCCACAAGTTCGCCTTCTGAAAGGTTCGCACCCTCGAAGGAAAGCCAGAAAGACTTCAAGCAGATATTTAGGACCAAATGGCGTACGTTGCGGACATGAACTATGGTCACATTTTACTTATTTACATTTAGACGAGGCTGTTCCGCACCCGAAGAGTACAAGGACCACGATACCGTTGACGACATTCACGAACTACGCGGAGACGGAGAAAGT